CTGGGTAAGAATCCTTAGTAATTATCCTAAAGCTCTAAGATCACTTTTTTAACCGAGGCAACAGTCGTAAGGATCATCGAGGGACTTGTGATCTCTTGAACTTAAGGACAGTCACTAAAAATTCTCATGTTTCGAGAATTGTGACCATTTTCAAAGGAAATCGAAGCAGGAGATACCCTAGGGGTGAGCATGTGCAAGTGTGCTTGATTCAGATATATTATCTTTAAATTAGGTTATGCTATGTTCAATCAGTCGTTATCTTTTCATACAATCTTATTAATCTAAGCAGTTAATAGTGCGGAAAATAAATTGCAGAAAATAAAATGCCTAAGCTATTACAAGGCGTTGGGGCAATTACATCACTAGGACAAATAAAAATGAATTTTAAAACCTAATTAAAACTATTACAATCCGGGAAAAAGTTACATAATTGAAAAGGGAAATATAAAATCAAAAACAAAGATAAGCGCGCGAAGAATGGAAAGAGCGTCTAACCCTAAAAATGTTTCTAAGTTAAAAGAAAATCTTTTTTTTTGTTTTTATTTATGAAAATATTAAATTATAATACCTTAGTTAACTAAATTGAACAAGGAAAGAAAAACTTAATTACAATTAATTTTAATGAAACTAATATCTTTTTGGTATTTTTAACGAAAAAGATTTAAAATTTAATCCTAATTTCTAGTTAATTTTAATTTAAAGAAAAAAAGGGATTAAAGTAGTTAAACTAGATTAATTTACAAATTTAATTTTAATTATAAAAACCTAATTCTATTTTTTTGTAATTTTTTAATGATTTTATGATTCAAATAAAAAAATGATTTGTAAAACAAATAAAATAAAAACAAAGAAATTAAAAATAAAACAACAACAAAAATGGAAAAATGGGCCTGCTGGTGTTATGAAGCAGACTGGGGGTGTGGCACTGAATTTTTGTTAGGCCCAGATTGTAGAAACCCAAAGCCTGCGTGAGATCCCATGCTGCCAGCCCCTAAGGGTTTATCGTGGGCGTCTAGATCTGGATCATCTGATTTGAATCTGATGAGATCTCATGGTGTAGAGGTGACGTTGCATGGTGCACGCACTTGTATTTGTGATACTGGATCTGCAAATAACTTGTTAGAAAAATTAAAACGTCTGACCTGGGTATCGAACCCAGGTCCTCCCCTTCATATGCATTCTCTCTTACCACTCAGCCACCCTGTTTATTCGTGAATATAAATTAAAAAAACAAAATAATATGAAAACAAGGCAGATGTTGAGTTGTCAATGCGCGCCCTTCAAAGGGCCCCTGGAATTTTGAACGGACCAATCAAAATGGAGAGAGGGAATTCATATTTTAGATCATCCAATGGGATGAAGGAGAAACGCCACGCCAGCCTTTGACTCCAGTCAGGCCGGTCTAACCACCGGAGCCGGTGATTTCCACCGTCTTCTCCGGTGGGATCACCTGAAAATGTGACAAAACAAGAAAACAAAATATACAGGGTGACTTAAAAAAGTCCCCTGATCACGAATATGTTCTAAAAAATGGCTAAATCCTCACACGTCGTAAGGTTCGATGGCGTAATACGATTCCATGGCGTAATACGATTCCAGACCCTATAATATCATGTAATACGTCCAAAAGCCAACAAACATCATTAGCAATACGAGTATAAACTTAAACAAGATTTATATGACCTAATGTGAAAGTTTGAGATCCAAGAATTTATCAAAAAGTTGAGATTCGGTGGGGAAATCTCAGGGTCTTTCAGGCGCATGTGAGGAATGACTTGTCTCCCTTGGAACCTCAAGAAGAGGGTTTTCTCTTTTATTTTGATTAAAAAGGGCTAGAACTGAGGTTTTAGATCTTCACGTTTTTCTTTAAAAATTTGAACTTTGCTAGGTTTTTTTTGTAATGGTTGCGTGTATGCTTGTAGTCTGAGCTTGTTAGGAATATATAGTCTATCTTATTAGGTCAACAAAAGAGGTAAATATCCTTGGCATTGAGTGTAAAGAAATGTTCTTCAAAAGTTTCCAAAACAAAAATATTTTCTTCCTATGGCCTTGCACATTTTTCCTTGGTATAATCAGCATATATTGCCCAATATTTAATGGAAAAAGATCTCAAATCAAATCTTACATTATCTCCATTATTTATTTATTTAATTTTGAATTTTAATGAATAAAATATCAAAATAGATAGCATAAATAATATAATAATGTATGGGTGATCTTAGAGGTCGTGGACCATGTTAGGAATAAGTTTCAAGCATAAAAAGATAGGCCCATTTGGAAGAATTCCAAGTTAACTCAATATTTGCTTCATGCACTTTTCCAAAAATTTGCCAACATTAGCAATGCATATCTCTCTCAATTTTAAACCTATGTGGGTGTTCTTGGACTTTTAGAGAGATTAGGATATCCTCTAAACAACTCTTTTGGTTTCATCCCAATTGGATTTTCCATGTTTATGTAAGGAGCTTTGGAAAAAGATGACTTTTTGTTGACTTTTAAG